GTAGTTCGTAACAGCATATACAATATTTTTATATTTTTAAAGGGAAAGCATATGTTTATACCCCAATAGTGATCCAGTGTTAAAAATGCCTATTTTAGTGGACTTTACTTTTTGTACATCAATCTTTATTGTTCAGTAGACAAAAGTCAGTGTTCGAAAAGGCATCTATAAAGGTTAAATGCTTGACTTTATATAATGTCGTAACCCGAAATCAGTGAAGTAGCTTATTGAACAAACACTCATCTCCAAATTCATTAATCTTGGCAAACATGATATTGAAAAATAATTTAAATTTTGTACATCGATCTTTATCGTTTAGCAGACATACGATACTTTCGAAAAGGCATCTATAAAGGTTTGATGCTTGACCTAAAATGTCGTAACCCAAAATGAATGAAATAGCTGATGGAAGAAACACTCAAATTTAAATTCATTGATCTTGGCAAACATGATATTCAAAAATAATTTTACATTTTGTACGTCGATCTTTATCGTTTAGCAGACATAAGGTAGTGTTCGAAAAGTCATCAATAAAAGTTAAATGTTTGACCTAAAATGTCGTAACCCGAAATCAATGAAGTAGCTGATAGAAGAAACACTCAATTCCAAATTCAATAATCACGGCAAACATATTGAAAAGTAATTTTAAAATTTTGTACGTCGATCCGTTTAACAGACATAAGGTAGTGTTCGAAAAGTCATCTATAAAGGTTTAATGCTTAACCTAAAATATCGTAACCCAAAATCTATGAAGTAGCTGATTAACAAATACTCAACTACGAATTTATTAATCATGGCAAACATGATATTGAAAAATAAATTTATATTTTGTACATCGATCTCTATCGTTTAGTAGACAAAAGGCAGTGTTCGAAAAGTCATCTACAAAGGTTTAATGCTTGACCTAAAACGTCGTAACCTAAAATCAATGAAGTAGCTGTTCAAACAAACACTCAACTACAAATTTATTAATCATGGCAAACATGATATTGAAAAATAAAATGAGATGAGTGTTGAATATGTGATTTATATCAATATTTACATACGAGTTCGTTAAACAAATACACGATTAAAAGTGAGACCTACAGTTGAGCAAAATATTTACACAGCATTTAAAGGGGTTGCAAGTGGTTTAACTATTAAACTGACGGATTTATTTAAACGTTGAGATTCCTATAAAAGAAGTGACAAGTTTTATCTACGATGTACACTCATAAGGATTGTTCTGCTGAATAGCTCTTCGTTAACTCACTCTATAAAAGAAAACATCTTAGCCCATCTAGCTTTCAAAGCTTGGAAAGCTGCGTTGTGTTCTGGTCATGAAAAAAATATTTTTTTGATGTTGAACATTTATATTTAATTGTTTAAAAGCAAAAAGTTTAAAAATAAAAATTACGAGACTGATGTAAGATGCTTGTGCAAAGGAAAGTAATCGAGACTAAAATAGTTTTGTTATGGAAAATACCATCTGTTTCAATCTAATACCTATATTTATCCAATCGTGTTATCTTGATCATAAATCCGCTAAGCAACCTTGAAAGGAATTTTCGAAGGCGGTGTAAATATTTGTTGTTTTGAAAAATATCGCAAAATCGTAGATAAAAAATCTGATTCCTTGTTTATCGATTCGTAAACGCTCGTACAGAATAGACAGAAAGAGCCGTAGAATAAGTTATCGGGAGTAGTAAAATTGATACCGTGAAATTGATACCGTAAATCGTTTTTTTTTACGACAATGATGTTGGATGATAAGTGTCTTTGGTCAGAAAGACTCAATTCCGATTATTGAATGACTTAGCATGTGCGATGTACTTGAAGACAAAAATACTGGCTCTCTTTCCATAATGAAATACTATTATACTGGAGTAACGAATTGTATATTAATTTCATTTCTTGTAGGGTGCTTTAAACAAAGTGAACTTTGTAGTGTATTATATGTGATGAGACCCGAGAATAAAACCGCGTTGTTAGTTACCCGATTTAATGTATAGAAGTACATGTACTAACATAATGTTTGTTCTTATTAAAAAGTTGGACAAATCAGTACCTGGCACAAGTACATTTACCTATTGTACCTGTTTGCATTTCTAATTATCAGATATACTGTAAATTTGTTTTGGACACACACACTACAAAATTGAATAACTATGGCAGTTTACTTATACATTCGTTTTAAATTATATATAATTAAAACCTGATAAAATTTGGCACGTTCCGGTAGACTTTTGACTATATACTTAGATTTTAATGAACGGAGTTTACTATTATAATTATAGTCGTAAACTTTAATGCTTGGAAAAAAGTGTCATTGTCAAAGATTTTATTGATTTAAGATCATAAATGTGGATTGTCACCAAACAGCAAACTCAAAAAACAAACAGCAATATATGTATATTATATAAAATTAAACATAAATAAACCATAAACTGAAAAATAGAGGCAGACGATACCTAAGGGACATTAAATCTTTCTTCAATTTTTACTGAGCGAGTACAGTTACCAAATGAATGCAATATGTAGAAAAGACAGTACAGTTTGGAAGCTATTAAACCAAGAGTTCCAAATGGTGAAGTTGAAGCCATCCCTTCGTAAATTTGTACGGACGCCATCACGAGTTGGTTGACCGTTATGGAATAACCGTTTCACAGATGATATCGGATATGTTCCTTATGTCGTAACCACAATACCCTCCCTTTTCACGAATGTGACTTACCGAATTAGACTATTTACCGGATTTGCAATAACATAAGCAACACGACGGGTGCCACATGTGGAGCAGGATCTGCTTACCCTTCCGAAGCACCTGAGATAACCCCCAGTTTTTGGTGGGGTTCGTGTTGCTTAGTCTTTAGTTTTCTATGTTGTGTCATCTGTACTATTATTTGTCTGTTTGTCTTTTTATTTTTGGCCATGACGTTGTCAGTTTGTTTTCGATCTATGAGTTTGACTGTCCCTCTGGTATCTTTCGTCCCTCTTGGATAGTCTTAGAAGATGTGTATAGACTGGGGTCTTCATTTCGACATTCTTTTATTTTTCATCAACTGTTAGGGGCATATACAGGGTATCATTAAATGCATTGTAATTTCTTCTTCGTTTTTGTTCTGCCGAGTTAAAAAATGAAACGGGAATTAAAATGATATGGCACATTAAATTGAATTTATCTTATCAACTGTCAAGGGTGTTTATAGTTGCGGTACCGTAGCTCATGGTCGGCAAATTGTAAAAAAATATTATAAGGATCATAAGAGCTGCGGTTCCGCAGCTAGGGTGCTTACAGAGTTATGAAGTTATCTGACATCGCACAACGATAACTTTGAAGTAGATGCAATTCGACCTTCTTTTACATAAGGGTTAATACATGGTTAGGGTCAGGTTAAGGTTTATACATGGTTAGGGTCAGGTTAAGATTTATTCCAATCTGATTAGAATACAGACCCTGTATCCAAGCTTTGTTACAAGAATCTGAAAACAATCCGTTTTACTTTCTGTTTTAAAGACCTTTCTGGATCCTCTGGTTTTGTCGGATTAATGCACACCTTCAAAAACTTGAAGGCTGCAGTTTCATTGGCTGATTTAATAATTACCGGAACAGAAAGTAAAAACGGAGCGTTTTTAGATCCTTGTAAGCATAGATTGGAAACATGATCTGTTACAGTATTTTAATCAGATTGGGGTTTATTCTAGCTTAACGGTAACGTTTAAGATATTTTTTAGTTTTTTAAATGATAGGGCTAGAGTTAGGGTTAGGAATGGGTTCGGATTAGATTCAAGGTAAGGGCTAGCTTAAAATTGAGAATGGAAATGGGGAATGTGTCAAAGAGACAACAACCCGACCATAGAACAGACAACAGCAGAAGGTCACCAACAGGTCTTCAATGCAGCGAGAAATTCCCGCACCCGGAGGCGTCCTTCAGCTGGCCCCTAAACAAATATATATACTAGTTCAGTGATAATGAACGCCATACTAAACTCCAAATTGTACACAAGAAACTAAAATTTAAAATAATACAAGACTGACAAAGGCTAGAGGCTCCTGACTTGGTACAGGCGCAAAAATGCGGCGGGGTTAAACATGTTTATGAGATCTCAACCCTCCCCCTATACCTCTAGCCAATGTAGAAAAGTAAACGCATAACAATACGCACATTAAAATTCAGTTCAAGAGAAGTCCGAGTCTGATGTCAGAAGATGTAACCAAAGAAAATAAACAAAATGACAATAATACATAAATAACAACAGACTACTAGCAGTTAACTGACATGCCAGCTCCAGACTTCAATTAAACTGATTGAAAGATTATGTCTTCATCATATGAATATCAGGCACAATCCTTCCCGTTAGGGGTTTAGTATCATACCATCATAACATATATGAGAAGAACATAACCCGTGTCATGCCAACAACTGGTTTTTAAATAAATGTGTTTAGTGCCGATGCAAAGACCCTATAAGTGAATCAATATTAACGCCAAGATATGCAATCTTTAATGACCTGACAACAGTATCGTAACTATATCCCTTCTTAATAAGTCTATTTAAAGGTTTTGTTAGCTTCAGAGGTGAATACTGATATTTTTGTGCTTTATAAAGAATATTTCCATAAAAAATTGGATGTGAAATACCTGAACGTATAAGAAGTCTGCATGTTGAGCTATATTTACGAATGATGTCCTTATACCGATGATAAAATTTAGTAAATGCTTAGTATGGTTGTATATAATGGGTTTGGACTCCTACTAAAGTAAAAGAATGCTGAAATTCTTAAAATAATGTTTGAAATGTGAGGGTCTGTACAGGGTTTACAGAATAAAGAATAACTGACAAAAAGTGCACAATAAAGGACAAACAAATAATGAATAGAGAAAAATAGGGAGGAGGAATCAAGAAAAGAGAATAATGACCAAAATGAATAAAGAATAGAGAAAAATTTAAAGAATAAATAGATGAAACCTCCCTTCCCCCATTCCAGGCCCCATATATTGATTTACCATGAAGACCTACCTGGTGAAAGTTCCATCTGTCTCTTTGTAATACTATAATGGATGTTCTCCTTCACATGCTTCATTTTAGAACACAGTTCCTCCAGCTGTCGCTGGCTGTCCTGGGACTGTTGTTTAAACTCGTCAATGGTTCCGGAAATGACGTTGACAAAGGAGATTAGGTCCTCAACTGGGAAGTCCTCATTTACATTATTAAACTTATCTGTTTCGAATACTTCGCTGTACTCTAAAATCTTATCGTTAAAAGATTTGATATTGTATTCTTCCGGAGCTTTTTCAGCCCATTTTTCGTCCGATTCTGATTTCTTGTCATCATCTTCTTTCTGTTGTACCGTTTCACTGTTGTTATTCTCCATATCAGAAGAACTCGCCTCCTTTGCCTGGACCGTATTATCGTCCATTGCTACTTCTACTTCCAATTCAGAATTATTGTTTCCATTTCGTTCATGGACTGGCACTGGTTCCTCCACTTTTTTGGTCTCTGGAGGAGGTTGAGTTTTAGTCCGCCCGTGTCCAACATGTGTCGGTTTCGTTTTGTCCATGTTTTTAGGCTTCTGAGATGTGATGCTGTAATTTCTTTGAGATCTCTGTGAAGTTTCAGAAACAGTACGCTTCACAGGAGATGGAGCAGTTGACGGTACTTTTGATCCTGGATGCGCATGTCGCTGATTGTTGGAAACATTTCGTCTTCTTTCCCCAGGCATGATTAAATATCAGCTATCGTACCTGCAATGCACAATTAAGAATTATTACATTGTGGAAAAAGATCGCTATCTAGATTTGAAGCTGCACTGAAAAATAAACCCTTATTCAACATATATAAGTAATATAGAAGCCATTTGTTTCCAAAAATACGTGGGCTTTTGTCCTTTGTTACTATTACATAAGTTTCATTGTCAATGCAGAGTTTTGATAGCTATAACTTTACCGCAACAGCACGTTTGTTTTTTCAGTCCATTGAACATATTTTTGTCTCACACCAATAAATGTTACATCTTTAAATATATTAAATTAAAATATTTAATAAATAAAATAAACATTTCAAACACAAAAGATTAATAATCTTTCATTCAAAAGATGTTAAGACTTTATTGTGCACAATGCATAAATGTGAGAACTGTTGATTTTGTATCATTTTTGACGATCTGATTAAAATACAGATCACATGTTCGCGTTTCGCAAACAAGGATCTACTTTTATTCTGGTAATTATAACATCAGCCAATAAAAGGTTAAAGATCACTTTCGGCATATTATGGCCATGAATTTCAACTTGATCATAGCATATCAAGAAGGATGCAATCTATTTTTAAAATGGATCTTTTTTCAAAAGCCTTAATGCTAGGGAAAAAAATCTCTTCATAATTGTACATTATAGGCTCCAAAGTTAGAACATTTTGGAGATCATTTTCAAAATACAACGATTTTGTGCATTTTTCGGATATAAACAAAACCAGAGGATCCCGGAGGATCTCAAAAACAGGAAGTAAAACATCGTTGTCAGATCCTTGTAAGCGAAGCGGGGACAAGGATATTTATTGTAATCAGATTGACTATCTGAGAAAAAGTCCTCATTGAATAAAACTAGAACTACAATGAACAATTCACCTTTGCCTCTGCACCAGAATCAATTTTTTGCAGCATTTAGAACACTTCTCATACAAGTTGCAAAAATACATTGTTTTGTCTATGTAGTTTCTAGCCAGTTTATGAACTTAATTTCAATGGTATATTTATATTGTTTGTATTCCAAAAAACATATGTTAGAAGTTTAAAATGTAGATTAAGAATGTTTACTATATGTACGTAAACCTGGTGATAGCTAGGAAGAAAGTTTATAAAACAATGCAAAACACATTCAGACGTTTATGTGGCATATAATTGATAGAAAACAAGCAAGAGTCAAGGAACAAAAAAGAGAACAAACAACAGAATTACACCCTCTTTCTGAGAAAACCGACAAACGACGAAACGAACGTAATTAAGTTATATATCCCTCAATCCATCACAAAAAAAAGAATAACACAGGAATGATGGGGGGAGAAGGAAAGAAAAACATGTTTGCCGGGTTGGCTAGAGACCGGGAAAAAAGTTAAATGCTGGCAGGGTATTCTGCATTGCAGATAAAATCAGGTCATTTCATGTGAGCATTTATGTATTTATCAACATCAGAATCACGTCGGTTTGTTGTTATACGGTAAATAGATACAGATGCAAATAATTGTATTAACCAATCAACGTGCCCTTTCAAAGGCAGATTAATTACAATGTAATTATTTATAACATAATAAATAGACTAAACAATAAACTAATAAGACAATAAAGGTTCATTAGAATAATAATTGGATTGATTGTTCAAAATATAGAAATGTCAACATTAATGTGTTTTGTATTGAGGACAGTCATGTGCGTTTGTTTACTTCTAGTTAACATTGAAATTATTTCAGCATAACAACAAGTCACATAGTTAAGAAATAAAAGTTGATTTGTATGATAGCACAGACTTGTCATACGCGATGAACGTTTATATTGAAAATATAGTTTTTTATTTTAACCATCCGAAAATCAGTTTTTGGGCAGTAACATTTCCCCATCCACCCAACCATGTGTAATCCGAATAGTGTCAGTCGTTATATTCCGCTGATCTCCGACTAATCTCCGAATACAACATTAAGGCTATATGCCGCTAGAGGGCGCAGAATTATTCGAGTTAAACCATGTGAAACTGTTTGTATTATTTATTTTATTGATTGTAACGCGTTAAGTTCTTCTGCAGATCTAATAAGACCATTAATTAGATATAATTGTTTTATATATATTTTAAACGCATTCTTTTTTTTTAATTTTTTCTTTGTAGATATGTTTGTTTGAAATGTATGCTGCAGCGGCATGAGAATGTGCTTGCAATGTGACGTTGATGATAGTTGTTTTGTTAGATTGCACTCGTCTAGGCGAGCTGTTTCCCAAATATATGTATTGTAGTTTTTGTTAATAAATACTTTATTTATGAAAAAGGAAAAAAATTGTGATTTGTCGTCTGTACTTGTTAACATTTTGATGTAATATCGAAACTTTCAATGGAGATAAAACATCTTTTATGGGTTTTACCATCAATATTTTGAGCTTGTCGTGATCTTAATATATAAATAAACTTGTAGATATACATTATGCTTGCCTTTCATTTACCAGTTGACTAAATATATCATCTTTTTCTATGGAGATATTTTAAGTTTCGCGTAATATTCGATTTTAATGGTTAAAGTCCATAGCTGAAGTATTGATAAATGGTATTGCAACAATGAAGTCAAGCTTTCATACGGAGTTAAGCTTAAATTGATCACATTATTATAGCCTTTTAGAAAGAACATAAATAAGAGCATTAAGAACTATGGTGATGCGATTTTCTACCTAATGGTGATATAAAATGGCATGTTTAAACTTAACTTGAATCTGTAAGAATATGACAGTTATTTTTGCACCATTTGCATGGCAAATTCTCCTTGCGTGCAACGGGAATACAATGAATATAAAAAGAGGAGTCCGACATAAATTGTGACAATAAAACTATACATCCTCAAAACACCCCATAATATATAAAAAGACTTATAAAAAGCAACAATAAGGTGTTTGATATCACAAAGTTTCCAACCCCAACCCCCCTGCTTGACTGAATAACCCAAGTAAATGTTTGAACCACTCGTAATTTTACCCAAACATCAAGTAAAATCCTTTTGACGCCCAACCCAAACAAAAGTAGACAGAGGTTCAAATAAACAAATGACCTAACATAGACTTCAAAACTGAACATAATTATGTTTTATGTAGAATAAAAAATCAACCGGTTCACAAAGAACATTAATCAGACGTTTTATCGATTCGCATCCCCGAAGCGATCATTTCTCAGTTTGCCCTTTCCGTACTTTGAATTGATGTCATTTAATATAAAGGTAACTGCAGTACATCTGTATAACTGAGAAGTAATCGTCGATATCAAACGTTAGAGTGAATTCTGCTTCTCTTAAATAGACAGAATTTGATACTCGCGGAAAAGCTAGTATATTAATTATAAACAAAATGTTTCAAATTTTAAATTAAATAATACGGGTTATGAGACACCGACCATGTACCTTCCTTTTTATGGTGTGGGGGAGGGGGCAATGTTTTTTTACTCGAAACATTCTTTTTCGATTTTAATGGAAAAAATCTTTTTAGTTCCAGTCTGAAACAAAGTTTTATCAGGAAATTTATAATCAAACAATTAATGTATTTACCGTCTCTACGCTCTCTTTTTCCTTGCAGATCTTTTAAGATCGACTGGACGCTATCAAAACATTTTTATAACTGCGATTGACTTTGTCTTATATCATTACTCATGGAATTGATAAGCATTTAAAATCTTAAAACTGCGTTTCATCTACAGATAGCAAAACAACAACAACAACAACAAAATAGAAAGAACAAAATATGTGATCTAGTTTTTTTTTTATGCTAAATGTCAATTCAAGTAGCCATTTGCTAAATATATAGACAGTATTACAATCGAAAATCAAAATTTACAATACTGTTGAAATGCTTTCAAGTACTACTCGGTCGCTATACACGACAGACCAACTTGTACATAATAAAATATTAAAATCTATTAAAAATGTTCAGTTTATAGATCTAATAGAGATTTAAAATGTCAGTAGCGCTTTAAAGCCTTACAAATCATATTCAAAAATAGAATTTCTATGCTTCTCATCTCCCGCGACACTTAAATAAATCATAGGTAATTTATAACAGAGAAAGTTTTCCAGCCCAGTTTGAAACATTAATGGTATACAATGGCGCACTATTTCAAAAGATAATTGTGAATTTTCAGCCCCTTATCTGTTTCCTTTTGATATAACTTGAATCAAGATCAAAAGAAGATATTTCATTTAATATTGAAAAGTTTTTGATACTTTCCATTCGTAGAAATTAAATTAAAAGTTATATGTGAACTTTAACATTGATCACACAGGACGAATACTCTTGTAGAAAGATAGACTTTAAAAGAGGGTCTGGATGGGGGTCTCTCATTTCTTTATTCATTAACTTTTTGAAACATTTTTCTCTATTCTTTATTTATTTTGCCCATTATACTCTCATTTATATTTTAGCACCCCATTATTCTCAGTTCTTTATTTGGTTGCCCATTATTCTCTATTCTTTATATTTCAGCACCCCATTACTCTCTATTCTTTGTTTTTTTTGGCCATTATTCTCTATTCTTTATATTTTAGCACCCCATTATTCTCAATTCTTTATTTTTTTGTCCATTATTCTCTATTCTTTATTTTGTGTGCCCATTATTCTCTATTCTTTATATTTTAGCACCTCATTATTCTATTCTTTATTTTTTTTGTCTATTTTTCCCTATTTCTTGATACTTTTTATTGCCTATTTTTCTCTATATTCTTAATTCCCCCCGTTTATTTTGCCTTTTTTGCAAATATTTCTCCATTCTCTAAACCCCATCCAGATCCTCTTATAAGTTGACGATTTTACAATGGAAAAAATAAGAAATTCGATATTACAAAAAAAGTATAACCGGATTTCTTCGAAAAAAGACATACAGACAAGACAAAAAAGAACGAACAACACATGTCAAGACAGTGTGACTTGAAACAGGCAAAATATGCGACTGCTTTAAATTAAGGCGATAGTAGCTTACAAATGTTCTAACCCAACTTTGCCAAGGACATA